CCAACCAGGTTGGTGGAAACGGTTTTGTCGGGTTTTCCAGGGAAACTGAAGCTGGATCCTCTCCAGCACTAAATGCTTCCAAGGAACAAACCCGTTTTTGACGCTTAAACAAAGGAGCACTCAGAATCGGAGCCAGAGTCCGGCCAGGGAGCCCCCAGGAGGGTTTGGAGCAGACCCTCACTCTTTCTGGGGGGGGGGCTGTGGGGGGCGCATGAGCCCCCAACCCCCCCGGGACTTTTGAGAGTGTGAGGAAAGGCTTATTTTGATGGCTGGTTGCCCAGTCAGCCAGAGGCTTAGCCGGCTTTCGGCATATTTGTCTACCTATCGAGTCTTTCCCGAGACAGGAAGGTGCCTGAGCGTAGTAAAGGTCTGGTTGCAGGATGTGAGCTGCTCCAAGCTTTATTCCTATTATTACTGGCAGCCTCGGGAGACGAAGCCCACTGCTGTGTCCATGTCAGTTTTTGGATCTGTATTGACTTCTTTGTCCTTTGTCTTCCTGTCCCAACGAAGGTGCAGACGATCAGAAATCCGGGGCTTCCTGGTGTGTGTGCAGATGCACCAGGCCCCATGCCTGCTTGGCGGCCCCCCTAAAGCAACCTGCCCCCCCCCGTGCCCCCCGACTCCTCAGGCTCTGTGAGGGTTCAGGCATTGCTTGGCTGCAACACGCAGAGCCCACCTGGAACCCCGTTCACGGGCCGCTCCCCTCCTCCTAGCAGCGCCTCCTCCATTGCCCAAGAAAAGCCGATCAGCTGAAACAGGGCCAGCCCGGCTTGGCACAGGGCCACCGGGGTGTGCCTGGCCCCGAGCCAGAACAAGCTTCTTACCAGGAAAGAGGGCGCCTTCCAGAGAAGCTGGGGAATCACTAAGCAGAAAAGAAAATCACACAAGAAAGAGCTGCGGGCTCTCTTCACACAAGCCTTGCCCCAAAAGTGCCTCGCTAGCAACTTGGGTTCAGGGGCTCCTTTCGACAACTGGATCCACGCTGCCCCAAACCCCGACCCCCCCCCGCCTGTGCCTGGCACCCCCCGGCCCCTCTGCCGGATGACCCAGGCAGGAGCAGGAATGCCCTGGGCCCCACCGCCGCCATCGGGCATCCCACATTCCTTGAGTCAGGGGCAAGAACAGGCAGGTCCCGGCCTGCTGGGTTTTTCTCCGCTTCCGACCGGGGCCTCTCATCAGGTTGGCTTCAGGTTGGAAGAAAGAAGCTTGCACCAAAACGTGTCTATATCCCAAGTGCACTTTTTCATCGGGCATTTTTGTTTTCAGTATTGTCAAGTATACATACTTCATGCAAACCATTTCACAGAAGCAAGGTGTCTTTTTGGGAACAGAGCAAAATTTGGAGAAGCAGCGGTATTCTTTTCCTTCTAACTGAGCTTTGCTGTTGGTTCAGAAAAGTGGAATTAGCTATGTCTAAACTTGATTTAGATTAGTTTCTCCCTTAATTCTGGGGAAGTGAGGTATACTTTAATTCAAGTTTCTGTACAAATGAAACTATGGAGTCCTAACAAAAGGTGTCAGCATTATTTAAACTCTCTAACTGCAGGTCAAGGTCAAGGCTAACCTTTCTGGTCCTGCTCTCTCTGCCCAGGGGACCTCGCAAAGACCTCAGAAGGGAGGCCCTCTCCCAGGGTAGGCAGCCTTGGAAAGGGAAAGAAGCTGTTGTGGAGGAAACAGAAACTCTGCCCTCTGATCTGGACCAGAACTGACTGGCTGAGACAGGCCTCTCCTCCTGCCAGAAGCCCAGAGGGGCTGAGAGAGCAAGTTTTGGCCTTGCAGTGGGCTCACAAAACCTGCATGCAGGTGGCAGGAGGGGGCCAGGAGCTCCGGCAGGCCTGACTTGCGGCCCTTCGTGGCAAAGGTTGTGCCCGCCTGGACCTGCATCCTGAGGAGGTCTCCGCACAGACCAGAGCCGAACAAATGGGACCTTCTGCCAGGGAGTCGGACCCCCCCCATCCCGGCCCTAAGACTTCTGCCCGGGACGAGCAGGGCGGCCGGGCGACCCAGGGAAGATTTCCAGCCTGGCAAGAGGCAGCAGGAGACGAGGGCAGGGCAGGCTGGGGAGGCAGCCCTGATGCCAGTCAGATCCTTTAGGATCCCTGGTAGGACTTTGCCCTCGGAGGACTTTGACCGTTGGTTCCAGCAAGTTCAGGTCGTGCTGCCCTCGACCAGCCCAATTCTCTCCCCAATCGGTCAACTCCGCCCGGCTGTTGTGCCCGCCGAAGCTCAGGAAAGAAATGCCAAAGGAGTGCTCTGAAAAGACACCCCCCCCCCCCCAGAGGCTTCACCCTGGGCAAAGGTGACCCCCCCCCCCCCGGCCACACCTCCCTTTGGAAGGGCCTTGTCCCAAGCCTTCTCACCGAGCAGCCACGGGGGACGCCACCGCAGGGGAACTGCCAGGCTTTCTGCATTCTGCCGGCAACTTGGGGGCTAGAAGACCCGGCACCCCGGCTACTCCTGGTCCCCTCAGGACTTTGGGGGCAGCAAGGAACAGCCCCACCTCCAATCGAGCAGGGGCCTCTTCCTGGGGAGCCACACAGGGAAGCTGCTTTCTGGACGAGGGGAACCGTGGGAGCCGCCTGCCGGCAGTCTGCGGCTCCTTTGGGGAGGCTGAGCGGGGGAATCAGTCCAACTCCCCCCCCCAGGCCTTTTCCTTCCGCGAAAGGCCCTGTCCAGCTGTGGCACCATTTTGGCCGGCTCTTCTGCGACCTCCCTGCCCCCTCAGAGAGAGCCGGGATTTCTCTGTGGCCTTATTTGGACTCGCACCTTCCACGTCCCTCTTCTGGGAGGGCCACACAATCGCTGCGTGTAGATGCGGTCAGAGTCAGCGAAGAGTCCGGTGTCCGGGAACGGGACGTTCCGTGCTTGGGCAGCCCCAGCACCCTCCCGCTTGGGCCCCTCTGCAAGAGGCAATGCACAAAGAAAACGGCGCTCCCACACTTGGGGCTGGGGACGATGGGTTCGGGGAAGAGAGCCCCCGGCTGCCGGGAAGCGGAGCTTCTCTCCCGGACTTGGGCCGGCAGCCCAGAGCCGGACCCAGAGGGCCCTCGGCTCACCCAGTGTGCAGGGCAGAGCCAGCCTCCTCCTCCTCCTCCTCAGGACAAGGCAGGCCAGCTGAAGGCGGCCAGGAGGGCCAATTCTCGGGGGCCTGGAAGGGGATCTCTGCCGCAGCAGGGCCAGAGGCCCCCCCGTTTCCTCCTCTGGGCCTCCAGGAGCCTCACCACAGCATCTCTGCTGAACAGCACCAACCTCTGGGTCTTGGCCTCCTGGCCTTCGGGGCTGGGCAGTTAGTGAAGGAGGATCCAGGGATTGGGGGGGGGGTTGTGCAAAACAAGCCCTCCCACTCACAAGGAGCCTGCCCTCCCAGCTCATCCCAGTCAGTCGTGGGGGAGGGGGGGATACCTGGCTTCTGAGGCCCCCCCACACCCGCCTGGGGATACCTGTGCCTCTTCTGGGCCAAAGGTGGGATCCTTTGTGACGTTCCTGGATTCTGACTCCGCTGGGACCAGATTCCAGCCATGACTCCGAGGCGACGGTGAGTCACGCCATGGCAACTCTCCCTCACTGGGAGGGGCGGACTACAACCCCCAACGTTCTCGGCCGGGGTGGCGGGCAGGCCCAGCCCCGACCCCATGGGCCCACCCAAAAGGCTGGGCCAGGCTGGGAGGCAGAGACCGAATGCCCAGGCCGCTCCCTCCTCTGCTGCCGCCGCCCCTCAGAGAATGCGGGGGGGGGGGGGGGGGGGGGGTGGAAACTTCCTGAAAACACAGCAACCCCCCAAGAACTTTGCTTTCTGTGTTTGTGAAGCTGCAGCTGCAGCCGCTCATTTCCCAGGAATTTTTTTTTTTTTTGGGGGGGGGGGGCCCCAGCTGATTGGGGTGGGGGGCTTACAGGGCCTCATGACAGGGAAGGCCAACGGCTCCCTGGGGACCCATCCTCTGCCCAACCCCTCGCCCGGGGCTGCCCTAAAGCCCCCATGGGGGCAAAAGAGAGGTGCCCCCCTCCTCTCCTGGGGCTTAACCAGCTCTCCCCCCACCCAAAAAAGAGTGAGGTCCGTGAGCATTTCTAAGGAGGGAAACCCGGCAACTCCCAAGAAGCTCCAGGCAACTGGGGAGGGGCTTGGTGGGCAGAGCGGGGGGGGGGGGCCCTTGCCCAACCCTTCCCGCCCCCCCCAGGGGCCCCAAGGGGGGGGGAGCCGGGGGGCCCCCCCCCAAAACCCCAATTCCCCCTTTCGGGGGCCCTTCTTCCCCCCCCCCCCCCCGGACTCGTTGGGGGGCTTCATTTGAATGAGCTGCGGCTGAGATTCTACTCCCCGCCCCCCCCCAAACCAAAGTGAAAGGAAGGACCGGATCCGTAAGCTAAAATATTTTACATTCCTCTGAAATCCTTTACACAAAACTCTTTGACGACCTTCCTCCGTGTCTTCCCCCCAGAGCAGCCCTTCAGTTGTATGCAAAAAAATCCAAATTCTGTCTTTGTACATCATCCCCACCCACAGCAGATGGGTGTGAACGACTTCAAGTTAAAATTGTTTCGCAGGGAATTACACACAAGCGGGATATTAAATTTGGGGGTGCTATGAATACAAGCGGCCAGCTCAGCGAGGATTTCTCTCCTGCCCTCTGATCGAAGGAACCCAAGAAAAACGGAACTGCGAAAGGCTGGTAAGCCAGGAAAGTTCTGCTCAAAGAGGGTGTGTGGGTGTGGGCACACGCGTGTCTGTGTGTGTGTGTGTGTGCGTGTGTACACGGGCATTCATGGGGGAAATCCCTCTTCGCTTCCTCGAGGCCGGTGGGCGAGAGCAGAGCGTCTGGGGAAGGGGGCCGGCAGGGGGGCTTTGTGGCAGGGGAGCTTCGGCTGGCAGCAGCCGGGACAGAACCAACCGCTGAGGAAAAGCCCGCAGCTCCTTCCCAAACGTCCCCAAGCCCTTCCGGGGGGGGGGCAGGGGGGGCACGGCAGCAGCGTCCCAGAGTTGCCTCCTATGGACTCCTCCCTGAAAGAAACATGGGCTCCTCTTTATTGGCTCAGAGAACTGGGCGACTGGCTGGGTGGGGCAGATCAGCCGGAGGCCTCCAGCAAGGGGGGGGGTTCCTGGACGAGGCCCCGTTTGCCCTCCGCCTTCGGCCACCGCCCGAGCCACGGCTAGGACGACGGCGGCTGCTGCTGCTGCTGCTGCTGCTGCTGCGGGGGGTCCACCAGGGCCTCCGACTCCGCCGCCAGGGACTGGGCGGTGCCCACGGCCAGGATCCTGTCGGCAGCCACGGGGGGCACCAGGGTCAGCGACTCGATGCTCAGGCTGTCCGTGCTGTCCTTGGAGATCAGGGAGATGGTCGGCTGCGGGGCTGGGATCAGGCTGGGCGACAAGGTGGCCGTCTCCGCTTCGCTCCTCGAGTGGCTCCTGCCAGGTCTCAGGTAACCGGAGGTGGAGGAGGAGGAGGAGGAGTAGGGCAGGGACTGCTCCAGCGTGGCCGGGTCATCTGTGGGAGGGGAGGAAAAAGGGCGCCGGCCGTCACACTCACAGGAAGGGCTGCCAGGTGCCCTGGATTCGCTTCCCTTGTCCAACACCCTGGAGGGTCGGCCTGGCACACAGGCAATCTAGGCCAGTCCTGCCCAAACCCGGGTACAAGTTGGCTAACCCAGGGCTGACTCACCGCTACCCGCCCTTTCCTTTCCCCCCCCCCCCGCCCCCCTTTCAGGTGTCTTCCTTCAGTGAACGCTCTGAGTCCTCCCCTCTTTTCCTTGGGGGCTTCTGAGCTTTGCCTGCCGTACAAGATGCCCCTTAACGGCCCTGAGCCTCCCCACCTCCAGCCAGGGACCCCACCGAGATGGCTCTCCCCCCGCAGGCATGGAGCGTGGTGGCCCGGGCCTCTGTGCCCCTGGGTGCTGGGGTCTCCCTTAGTCCGCCTCAAGCGGGCACTTGAGAGGGAGGAAAGGAAAGGGGCGCCACCTGAAGGAGAGGAGCAGAGCTCTGGGTCAGGGTCTCCCTCTGACCCCTTCCCCAAAGAACCTTCAGCAGGACCCATGCTTGGCGGGGGGGGGGGGGCACCCGCAGACCCCCCCCACCGAGAAGGCAGGGGGCATTCAAAGCTTCAAAGGGGAAAAGCAAAGGGGAAGAACCAGTCCAATGAAGGGGGGGGAGGGAAGGCCTCCCCGTTTCTGAAGAGGCCCCCGACCCAGGAAGAGGGGACCCGCCCAGATTTCCTGGGGGAGGAGGGGCCCCTCTTGGAGCGGAGAGAGCAGGCGCTCCAGGAAGAGGCCGCTGGGTGAGGAAGGGAGTCCGTCGCACTGCTCTGCCTAGTGAGGGAAGGGAGCCCAGTTCCCTGCCCAAAGGGGTCCCGCCGGGGATGATGGGGGGAGGCCAGGAGGCTGAGCTGCCCTGTGTGTGTGTGTGTGTGTGTGTGTGTCAGGGAAAGAGCACTGAAACTCCCGGGAAGGCTGCTCCTGGCCTGAGCACAGACCTCTCCGCCGGCCAGGGGGCCCAAGGCCAGCTGCTGTCCAGACAGGTTCCCTGGGCTGTCCCTGCCGTCCCTCCTGCCAGGGAGCCGGGCCAGTCGGCAAGCCTGGCTCGTTCCTGATCAGCGAAGGCAGCCTCGGCTTCAGTCAGGCTGATCGGTTGATCAATAACTGGCTCCCATAAATTAAAACCGGCCCTTCTTCCAGCTGTCCCAACGTATCGCCAGGGAAAGGCTGGACCTGGCGGCTCCACGGCCACAGCTGCCCCGCCAGGGATTCGGCTGCCAGGAACAGTTGGGCAAGGTGGGGGTTGGGTAGCTCAGGGGGGCTGGGACAGGCACTCAGGGCCCCGTGGCGGGACGACTGGAGCAAGGCCCAAGGCCCCCTGGGTACCGGGCTGAGAAACCGGCTGCACGGGCGCCTCATTGCCAGCCAGGCCAGCCGCCTCTCGGCCCCCCGAACACGTTTCTGGACCCAGGAGCAGGGCAAGAGAGCTGCGGCTTTTTCTGCCACTCATCTGCAGAGGATTTTTTTCTTGCTGGGAAACAGCCTCCGTCTCCCTCGATGTCTCCGGAGGAGCTGCTCTGTCTGCAGGACAGGTAAGGGGCCCCTCCCCCCCCCCACCAGACAGGGTCCCTGGCCGGAAACCAGGGAGCGTTTCGTCAGCTGAGGAGGGAGGAGGCCACATGGGAGAACGGGGAGGTCTTGGCAGGGGACCCTCCCCATGGACCCCCCCCCCACAAGGAGTAAGAAAAATGGGGGTTTCAAACTTAAAAGGTGGGAAGAAAGCCACCCTGGGCTGAAAGCAGAATGCAAATAAAAGCCGCGTAGCCAACGCATTGCAAATCCAAAGGAAGCGCCTCTCCTGCTAACAAAACCAGCCGCCTTCGGCCCAGCCAGGCCCAAGTTTTCAGGTTCCGCTCGGTTTACCTCCCAGCAGCTCCTGAGGCTTCGGCAGGGAGAGGTGCCTCTTTCCAGGGGCTCCCTGGCTCTGAGCGCCATGCCGGTTCCTCCCGTGCCCCCCCCCCCTCCCCCGAGACCTCTGCCCCCAAGGGGAGGGCTGCCTTGCCTTCATGGAGGGGGCCCTGAGAAGGGGAGGAAAGGATTTTGGGGTGGGGGTGGGGGAAGGGGCCGCCCGATTAGCACAGGATCCGGGTGTGAGAGACGGGTGCACAAAAACACATCCACGAAGACACCTGCCTGAAAGGACTTGGCCAGGACGGGGGCCACTGCTGCTGGACGGCCTAAACCCAGTGTCCACCATGACTGTCAGCCTCTGAAAGACTAAGGACTCTCCGGCGTCCTTTCCTGCCCGGCCTTACTAGAGGGAAGCACAGGGAGATATCATAGGAAGCCTTCCGCCACTGGAGCGGGGAGGGGGGGGGACAACAGGAGGAAGGAAACAGGAAGCAGGACACGTTAGAGTGACAACAACACAACCGCCACCAAGGCAGAGACACCGGCCGTATCCTCGGCCTGCCTTGAGGAAGGGGCCCCAAGACAAGGCCGGCCTCCCCACTTACAAAGGAAGCAAGCGTGCTTTTGCAGAGGTTTCACCACCACAATAAATTATGCGGTGGAGAAATCGATCTTTTGGCAACGCAGGCCTGAAATCCTGCGCCTGGAATACAAAGCTAAAAGCACGGCTTCGTTGAGTTAACCCCAAAAGACGACACGGGAAGCAGGATAGAAAAAGGCTGGGACAAACACGGAATTTAGCACGCTAAATGGCCTGGAAGGGTACGTGGGGGGGGGGCGGAAGGAGGGGAGGCACTGATGCCGCCTCCGCCTCCTGTTTTGTGCTCTTCCCAGCGCTGCCCGCCGGGATCCACTCCGCCGGCTTTCGGTATGCAAAGCTGGCCTGAGCTCTCAACAACTCCAGTGTGGTTGCACAACCCAGCCGGAGAGCCCCAGGTGGGTGAAGTGGGTGAAGTGAAGAGACTCTCCAGGGCTGAAGTCCTGAAAGTAAGGAGACCGTCCGCCACGGGCACCTCCAAAGATGGCTGCCCGTGAATGCTGGGCCTTGGGGGGGGGGCAGCCTGGCCGTCCCACTTCACACACACCCGCTAAGCAGGCGCCTTCAGGCCGCCCAACCCATGCCCACAATGGGACGGCTCTCGGGCCTCGACTGGCAGAGCTGATAGAGCAGGTGGACTTTGCTTCCCTGCCGCCTGGGCCGCCTGGGCCTGGTGCCACCCGTCCTTGGCCGGGAAAGGCCAGTGGGGGAGAGCGAGGTGGAGACTCAGCTCGCAACGGAGCAACCTTTTTCCTCTCTGTTCAGCCTTTCTGTCAAAATGGAAGCAGCGCCAGGGACTTTGCAGCCGTTCTCTCCAACGGCCGCCTTGGTGAAAGCAAAGAGCTTTGGGGAGCGGACTTTGATCCCAGGGAAAGCACTGAAATCCCCTTCTGAGCCTTGCAGCAAACGGTCTCTTCATAAACCGAAGGGACTTTCCTGGCTGCCCAAAGGCCAGCTTCCTCTTACCGGCTTCCAGGGGCTAGGAAGCATTTTCCCTGCAGGGAATCCGGGGTGCAGCCAGAGCAAAATCCGCCTTTGGCTGAAAACCAACAAGGGCAAGGAGGGAGAAAGCAAGGCTGGAAGTCTGCCAGCCGCTTGGGAGTGGCCTTGTTATCGGCTCGCTCCTCCGATTAGGCCACACACGTGTGTCTCTCGTTTCTAGCCTCCTCCCCTGAAGAGACCCCCAGGAAGGGGGTTCAGTCATTATTAAGGGCCCCAGCCTGTGGGGGTGGGTGGGGGGTGGGCTCTGCAAGCCGCTGAGAGAGGGCTGTAAAAGCCCTGTGGAGCGGCCCATCCGTCGAAGGGCTACTGCCACGGGGGCATTTCTTGTTATTTCTCAAACCCCCAGCCCTGTGCTGGCTTGTGTCCTGCGCTCCTCCGGTGCCGCCCTGTGGGGTCCACAGCCGAGAGGCCGGCGATGTGGCCCAAGGGAAAGGAGCCTGGTGGCCAGCAAGGCAGTTCTGCCTCTCAATGGCCCCCCCCAGCTGGGGAAGCCGCTGCCCCCCTCCCTCCATTTCTCCTC